ATCTGCCCTCCCTCCCTCCCTTTCACCCATTCATCTGCCCTTCCTCCCTTCCTTTTCAGCCCCCAAATTCCAATTCTCCAAAAAAGCTTTTCCAACTGTCCAGAAGATAAAGTTTACCAATCCAGTTTCCTTTAAAATCATGTGCAATTTCCACGACTCAATTACTACCCCCTCACCGTGATGTCAATCACACGTTCATTTATTCATTTGATTTGCAAGGTGGTTCCACATGTCCCTTTTTGTTAATGCCTCTCTATGTCGATATCATACCTGAAACTCACATTTTTACAATGTTTCAGACCTTGTTTCCAGCACGTTTTTTCATACATCATCTCAAGCGAGCTTTATAGCACCCTGTGAGGTAAGCAGACAGACAACTATCATCATTTTCTGTGCTTACAAATGTGGAAGCAGGCTGAGCAGAGCGCCGGCCACCCTGCTCGCCCAGGAAGGCAGTGCTGGTTTCCAGAAGCTTCTTGTTGACCCGCAGCATGCACATGACCTGCACGAGCTGCTGCTACCCTGTCTTACGCTGCCTGGGACGCTCGTTCCATCAGTGGAATTCTCTGGCTACAGAACCCCAGGCGTGGGCCTCTGTATACTCCAGTCACTTTTTCCAGGCTGCACAAGGATCTGTCTGAGGTTCCCTTAATGTTGCCTAAATCCCCATTTGTCTTTAATCCAAGGTCCCCTTAAATGCTGAGATAGCTATTAGCTTTGATTTTCGAACACTCTGGGGCCTTCAGAAGCAATACCTTAATCCTCAAGGGGAGGAGAGAAGGTCCCCAGCAAAGCATTAGGTTTGGGCTTAAAGATTTGGCAGGTATTCGACCAAGCAGGTTCAGCCATCCCTACTTGTAATTCATAAGCTCAAAGGTATGCTGGTTTTTACTGCAGCAGAACCGGATTATCCCCTATCTCTTAAGCAGCTGCTGAGTATTTAGATTAAGTTGACTATTGCTCCTTCTGTCTCAGTCCTTATCCTGCCCGGTCAAAAATCCTAACACTCCCATATTGACAGTATGATAACCCTCTAATTCATATTTTGATTCCAGGAAAGGCTGTGCTCCAGGGGATGTCGATGGCCTCAGACAGACCCATGGAAACCTGATGGCCTCATTTGTGTTGTGCACAGCCTCATTTCAAACTCGAACCCCACCATGAGGCATGTGAGCAAAAGATATAACCACAGCACTGAAAAATACATTCAGTGCCTGAAGCTTTTATTAATAAGCACGCTGGCATTACAGCATGTCTCTGATTCCTCTCTGAACCAAGCTCTGACACACAGGTCACTGGCTGTTATCCACTTTCACTCCTGTTTTCTTTTATCTTGACAAATTTTTATTATTTTTGTACGTATTTGCAGTTTTGTGTTTTATCTTTTAAGGAAACATTCGATGATTAACCTATTACACGTAAGACTGAATTAAGGTAAATATTGCCCCTTGGTCCCTTGAGCTAGACTTGAAAGACAATCCTATCTGCATGAAGGAGCCTTTGGAAATGAACTTTCAATTCAGCGGTATATGCTGCATGTGTACTTTGCAATGAGCAACGGGGGAGGGAAAAAAGATACAAATATGGGCTTGTTTTTGGAGTACATGAGATTTGTCAATAAAAACAGTTATAGAAATATTACACATAATTTAAAATAAAACACTAAGTGGAACGTAACCAACAAATAGATGAGATGATCTGGGCTACATTGCAAAGAATAGAGAATTATCAACATGAACCCAGTCACTGAGGAACTGGTGCCCCACGAGGGTGTTCCAGGCACCTTGCCTTCTGGAGTCTCAGTGTATTAGGAGTCCTGCATGTTGGCTAAGGAAAGTACTCATTAGAGAAGCTGAGAAATTTATTGAGTCTGTTTTGCTTACATATGGCAGGAAAAGCACTCCCAGACTTAGTACCTTAGAAACAACTATCACATCATCTTTCCAATTCTGCGGGTTTGCTGGGGCTCAGCTGGGTGGTTCTTCTCCTCCATGTGATATTGGCTGGGATCCTGGTTGATGATGTGGGGGCTGTTCTGAACTGGATATCCACAGTGGAGAACTCACATGGCTGGTGGTTGATGCTGGCTGTTACTGGGGGCTAAGCTGGGCCGGTGCCTTAAGTATCCTGGCTCTCCTCCATGTGGCTTGGGCTTCTCACAGCATGGCGACCGTGTTCCATGAAGGAAGCGGAAGTTGCGAAGCTTTTTCAGGTTCAGGACAGAAGTCCCAGAACATCACCTGCCATTACAGTCCATTGACCGAAGCAGTCACGAAGTCAGCCCAGATGTAAGGAGAGGAGAAATAAATGCCACTTGTCAATGGCAGAGTGACAGGTGCAAAAGGCCAGGGAAAGAATTTTGTTAGAGACTGTACCACAGAGCTCAAGCCAATGCACAAGATGCACATGGAGGAGCCAAGAGCTTTGCGTTGTGCCTTCCAGAACCATCCCTGCTACCCTTATGCCCCCCAGCCTCCTGATTTCCTCTTCTTCCCACCTGTCCTTCCCTAGGTGAACTGAAACTATGGCTTCTGAATGCATTTCAAACTCAGACGCCTGCGTCTTTCTGGGGACTGGAGTCTTCTGTCACAGACTCGCTGCCCAGGCTTGGCACTAGCTCCTGCACCCAGCCCCACAGAACTATCCTTGGTGTGACAGGTTCCCTCACAGGCTGTATTTAGGGCCCTGATGCCCAGCTGCCTCTGTGGGGTTTCCTGGACTCTTGGTCCCAACTTACCCCTGTAGAATCTCATCTGCTGCCCCCAACACGCTGGATCTAACATCAATAGAACATGGGACTAGAGTGGATAAATGGCCATGAAAGTTCCCAGAGACCTTAACAAGTCAAATAGGTTTTGATTGAACAGAAGAGGAAAAGTCTCAGCAAAACTGTGCCTTAGGACCAAGCATGGAAGTTTACAGAACAGAGAGGGTGGAGGAGGCTTGGCTTGGAACAGGAGAAAGGTGGGGATGGGGTGGGAAAATGAGGGAGTAGGGTCAGATGATGACAGACAGACAAAGAAGTTTAGATCTGATGTGGTAAGAAATGGTGAGCCATTGTGCGTTCTGGAGCAGAGGTGTGGCCTGGTGAAGTGATGCTGAAGCAAGATTAGTGCCGTGGAGGAACGTAGGGGAGAGCAGAGGGACTGAAATGGAGGCCAGGGGTTGCTGGGTTCCTGGAGAATGAGGGCTAGGATTAAGGGGACTGCGATGGAAATGATGGAAAAAAGATGGCTATGAGTCAATTTGAAGGGGGAAGTGTATGGGGCAGTGACTTCTCAGATATGAGAAATTAAAGATCCAAGACATGGACTAATGAGATGGATAATGGGAGGCTGCTGGGGGGCAGGAGGGTTGAAATGGTTGACATCAGTGGGCAGACAGCAGCAGACAGGGAGAGACCAGAGTGAAGGAAAGAGCACTTAGACAGGAATGGCTTCCTCGTCCAGGCGGGTGGGTGCTGAAGGGGTGACTCAGGAGGTGTCAAAGGCAGAAGAGATGGTCTTTCATGGAAGTTTCAGTGAAGAAGGGGAGGAGAGAGGATAGAGGGAAAGCAACTTGTCTGGATTTTGAACATTTTGGAGCTGTTGTCACAAAGAGGGG